CGATGACTTTGCGCTCTTGCACACAGAAACACAAAAAGCAGCAGGAGTCCTCGTCAGACGCAGCGTACAGTCACAATAAGGAAGGAGGGTTTTCTACAAATGCCTAATCCTCGGATCAGTCGGAGGCCAGGGGATGCCAAATATGAATTTGAGGAACCGTAGACATCTGAGGTTTTGATATTTGCTTCAGAGGAAACATCATGCAGCTTTAATACGGAGCTGGAGTGACCCCGTACAGAATATAAACGATATTTAGTCTTTTTTATATAAAAGCAGTTGATAGTTCTCATATTTCATCAAGCAGTAGATGGATTTTAACAAATGTCTACATCTACAATAATCACCATTAGTTAACAGAAAAACAGCTGTAGATTAGCCACTGTTAYTGATTCTAAGCTAAAATTTGGCGTGTTCGTAGCTGAAAGGCTCTGTTAACATGAACTTAGATGTTTTGTAAAAAATGTGTTTTTGGCGACGGRTGGACGGGTGTCCTCCCTCGATTTTAGCTCCAAACACTCCACCCTGCAAGTATGCAGCTCACGCCCCTGCACTGGCACCAAACTCACCTCGCACACTGCGTTATACTCCCATCACACACACACACACACACACTCGCCTACACACATTGTCTACGTCAGAACAGGGAGTAGATTCTGGAAGTTCCCAAAAAAAAAGTGTTTCTTCGATTATTATATAGTGGGGGTGGAGGGGTTCACTCTTTCCTAACCAGGTCTGAATCGAGTGCTTTTTCCGTTTGATGAAGAGGTAATAAATGTTTGACRCTGGAGCAGGAGGCTTTCAAGAAGCAGACAAGTTGCTGCGAGGAAACGCTCCTGAAAGATGACAGGGATGTAATCCATCAAACAGCCGTGATGAGAAGATAATAGATGGGAGTCGGACAGGTGATGTCACCTAAACGAGCGTGTCCCAGGTGACGGGGGGGGTTAATGTCTCACAACGTTGTGCTAAAAGATGCAGCACAACAGCCTCTATCCACCTCCCTCTCCCRGCTCCTCCTGCCCATTTCTTCCCATTTTCGCCGTCTGCCACACAATGAAAGAGCCTCTTGGCTTTTATTAATAGTTAAAGTGGCCCCGGCCTGTCACTGGGGACAATGGCTGCAGCCCTGTTAATAAATAAAAATAATAACTAGGAGATGGAGACGGAGTGCAGTGGAGGGAGAACAGGCGACACTGCCATTTGTTGTTCCCTCTCACTTGTCAAAGCTCTTTGGCTTAAAAGCCTCTGTCATTGTTGAAGGAGGGGGGGGGGGTAGAGACGGAGAGAAAGGAGGGAGTGCCAGGGGCTAATAGCACCTGTTGGGGTGATGGTGAGGCAGCTGTTGGAGGGAGCACCACAAGAGCTCGCTCCATCTTTCACTCGTTTTTCCTGAGGATTCTCCATCAGCTGTGCTCCTCCTCCTCCTCCTCCTCCCCGCTCCTTCGTCGCTCAGCTCCCAGAAGGCTACGGGGAGTGACGGGCCCGGGCTGAGGATGGCCGAGCGAGCAAGAGAGAGAGAGAGAGAGCGAGAGAGAGAGGAAGTGTCCCGGCTTGAACTTCAGTATTGATCTTTGACCGTGTGTGTGTCCGTCGTAATCAGCGGGGCGTGAACGCTCTCATCTGGAAGCCAGAGGAGAGGAGCAGATTCAAGCCTYGAGGGGAGGCCGGAGGCACSYACACACACACTTACACACAAGTATCAATGTTTGTGTGTGCTGCTCCACTATCTAACATGCTTATTTGTGAAGGTAACTTTAAATCATTCGTGTCTTTTTGCGTTCTTGTTGCTTCACTTTCTCTGTTAGCAGGAAGCCAAAGAGGGAAAAATGTGTGAAAGATTAGTGGAGTAATATGAAACCAAGTGTGTTGGATAAATGTGTGTTGGCAATGAGAAACTTGTTTATCTTGGTGTTTAAAGGGGGCATATTTAAAATCTACTTTTTCTTGTACATGAAGTCTTTAGGAAGCAGAAATTTGAAWTTAGTTTCTCGCGGTGCTGCGTGGATTTTTCTATTTTCTGTGACATTTTCTGAACCATTACGTCAAATTATTTGCAACAGTACGTCTAAATAAGGTCTGGATTACCAAAACAATTTGGTGGTTCTGGGTCAGACTCTGGCTCCAACAYGTAAGTTTGGATGGACAAGTCTTCCCTTGTTGACATCTTTTAATTCATTTATAAATAAAGTTTCTGCACAGCTATTTAGTCATAAACCCCTCTATCAAACTAGAATGGAAGCTGGAGGAAGCCCCTCATTTGGATTTAAAGAGTAACTTACCCCAAAATTAACTTTTTTTTAGCTGATAAACTGCGTAGAATGTATCTAAAATA